ACATATCTCTGCTCTAACCTTCCTTCCTCTTCTGACCAAAATACATACCAATCTGCTCTTTTCCTATACTATTATTATTAGCCGTGTCAAATACTTCTGTTTGTTAGATCATCGTGGTCTTATTTCACTTGTAACTCTCCACGCCAGGTCTGTCAAACTCTCTAAATTCTTTCACAAGTTTCCAAGGTTTAAATGTTCCCTACATTTTTTCAGTGTTTCTCCTCACTTTCCTCCGATGACCCCAGATTCCTCTAGTATATTCTCAAGTAGAGAAAGTTTTATTCCCTTCAAACCTCACTTTAGCCTCAGGCAGCATCATTTACATTTTTTTTAGATTGTCTTTCCTCTGGCTTAATTACTCACCAAACATCTTTTTACAACCTTTCCTGATTATTGCCTCTTATTGAGCTTATCACAACCGGTTATTAATTATAACATCTTATTTTCATCCTTGTCATTATCAGCTATAAATCAAGGTTTGGATGCCATACCAACAGCCATTTAAAACATTGCTCTTGGCTCACAATTATCTGTTCCTCTCCAATTCTGCCAAGCAACTTCAATGACTTCCCTTCAACCATAGTTCCTTAACTTCCTCTACTCAGATGCATACTTCATTATCAAGTTATCACCTATCTAAATACCATAATCTTGGGAATTCATTCAGTGACTAAAACCTTTTATATTATTCTGATAATCTTATGTTTTAATTATGAGACATTAAGAATGGATGTTGGGAAAGATATAAATATAGATATTTCACTATTAAACATGTTTCTAAGAGCCCTCTTTCAGTTAAGCAAAAAGCTTATTTTGAAGGGTCCCTGATAGGATTTGTGTATGTCCGGAATCTATATTTAGCCAAATCTAAGGAATCTATTAAAATTTTTAAAATGCAGTTTGATTTCTGTTAAGTAACCATTTATAAATTCGTTGTGTTTATTTTGATAAAATTATATATTTTAAACAATCTTACCTGTAAATGGTGGGTGACAGACACATTCATATCCTTGCTCATCCCAGTTTCCTCTTTTATTAATGCAGCTGCCATCATTTTTACATGGTTTAAAAGAACATGCATCAAGTTCCTGGCAGTATTTTCCAGAAAATGGAGGCTGGCAATGGCAGCTATATGTCTTGCTCCAAGCTTCACTAAGACATTTACCATGACCAGAGCAAAATTCTGAACTCAGAGATTCCTGGCAGAACTGCTGTTTCACTGTCACATTTAGTCGAAGTCCCAGTGGACAAGGTGATGGACCACTTGCCATAACTGTGATAAAATAATGTGTTCCAACACTCAGCCACTTAGAATTAACAGTGTGCATTCCTTTTAGTCTGCAACCAAAAAGTAACTGATCTTCCGTTGTGGTATTTTGCACACAGCCAATGAAAGATGTTTCAGAAACATTCATCAAATTTATTTCTGGAAATTGAAGAGATGGTTCAGAAGAAATTACAAGGATATCTCCTAATTGAATTTGCAAAGGGCAAATCTGGGGAACAACTTGATTGCCTGAAGTATCTATTTTAGTGTTTACACCCAAAACCCAGCAATCTCTGTAGAAGTCCAAGCAGATGTTTTCTGTTAGTGTCCAATTTACCACATGTGATGAGGGTTGTGGATGCCATTCTTCCACCAATTCCCGTCTACATGTTTTTCCATTTATAAAAGAACTGTGAAAAACCATGAGGCTCAGAATGACGATTGATTTGTCAGTCATTTTCGGGCAACTGTATTTTACAGTTTATCGTAAAGAATTGCTGCAAAAATGGTGTTTTAAGTATTGCTGGAAATTTCCAAGCAAAGTTGTTGTTAGGGATTCCTGGGAAATGGAATTGGCTTTTTTTCTGTCCCCAAAGTAGCTTTGATGACAATGTGCTTTGATGGAGAAACGGAGGAATTTGAATGTTGTAAATATTCCTTTAAACAGAAAAAAACATACATTGTTAGTGACGTTTTCCCTAAATTACTAAATAGTATAGAAAATGCTAGCTCTTTCTGTAGATTTAATAAGAGCCTGCACTGCAAAGATGTCACCAACAGCTAGGGACCTTCTTTGGGAAAGAAGGCCAAGAAAAACATGATCAAGATATGTTGATCTGGTCAAGCTTTATGTAGTCACCTGATTTTGAAAAGTTCTGGTTTCATGACATAGTTTAGTCAGCAACTTACTGCAGTCTTTTGTATTTTCTCTTTACACCAAGCTTCAATCTAATCGAAACACAGCACAGCCAAGATTTGTTTACAGATGGTTTCAATTTTCCTGGGATCTAAGCATTCCTCTTCTGATTAGTTTTCAAAAAACACCTTTAAATCATAGAAGAGTAAAAATCATTTAAATATATTTTTAATGTAATATTTTATATAAAAATAAGCCTTAAAATGCCTGATAGTGACAATCATGCTCCTTTTATCCAGAGGATGGGAGATCTCATATATATATATATATATATAAAATTCTGTTGTGCAAATGACTAAACCTGGAATGAGTCTTCATCAGCTTCTGTAGGAATGGTGCAAGGTGTCAGATAAAGAGGGAAAAAGAGGTCAAAAACAGTAATGAAAATATTATAAGTAAAATGGTAATAACTGAAAGCAGGAGTCAGTCCATCAATTCTGTTGTTCCAGAGGGCAAGAAAACATAAAGGATTTCTGAGTTTAATATATTGACCTATTTTCTTTAAAGGTAACTACCAATTATTGAAAGTTTTCTCTGTACAAATCACTCTACTACTTGATTAACAAATAAACTGCAATCCTCGCAATAAAACTCAAATTTTGAGAAGAAAAGTAAACAAGTTCAGTGAAAAAAACGTGTTCTTTGGATGTCAGTTATGTTATTCATTCATTTAATGTCCTTAGGCAACCTGAGATTTAATTATCTCCACTTTCAAATAGGTACACTGGGGAGAAGTACAGCTAATTAACAAGGTAAGATTGAAGGTTGAATGACTATGTAAACATATATGAGTCACTCAATAAATAGTAACTTTTATTTTTGTTATTGTACAATTTCATCCAACAGGTAAGTGGTATATGTTGTATTAAAATTCAGGTTTGTCAGATTCAAAATGTCGGCATTTTCTACTGTACCATAAAGATCAATTAAATGTTGTTAAATTATGTTATGCCATTATATAATTTATTTGTTAATTCATATCAAATCTTTATGGTAAGTCTAATATCTTAATGGGTAGTCTAGATTAGGCAGAAATCAAATTTTAATTATAAATTACCTCTGCAATTTCAGTTCTACATGTTAGAAATCTATGAAATATACATTCATATGTGACATATAACACAAATATGCATATAGAAAGATAAAATACAACTTCTACATGATTAAATGTTCTACATAATCACATTAGTTTCAAATATATTAATCACCTTGTTAATTTTATAGATTTAAATTATTAATCTTGCTAAAGGTTTTAAAAAATAATTCAAACAAGTATATTTGAGCTCAATCTATGTGCAAGGCAATATGCTCAGTACCAGGATTCATCAATAATCAGTTGGAATAAGGTATCAATGGAAGGAATTAAGAACTCAATGAAGGAGACAGATCATTAGACAAGCAACATCATCAAATTGCTATCAACAAAGTAGTCTAATGGTCTATGAGACATGTAGCAAGGACATTTAATCCAAGCTAGGAAACAAAATCTAGGCTAAAATGATGAAATTGAATCACCTGGGAAAATTGCCAAAGGAAAAATGTTCCAGGAGAGAGCATCTATCTAAAGATTTTGAGGGGAATGTGACACTGGATGCCTTTAAGGATGTAAGAGAAGTGGAGCTTTCTCATCAAAGAGGGAAAAGGAATTGCAATTAAAGATAAGCACTCGATTTAGGAAGAGATTATATCAAGAAGTAGCAGCCATTCTCAGTAAAGGAGCTCATATTTTATTTGAGAGCAATGAAAAGCCTCTTGAAGATTTCATATAGGTGATTAACAAAAAAATAAAATAAATCCTCACTTAACTTTGTCCATAGGTTCTTGGAAACTGCGACTTCAAGCAAAACAACATATGACAAATCAATTTTGTTCTCTCTTCAATGTTATAATGAAAAGATAGAGGAGGAAAAGATGTTATTTGTGGATCAACGTGTTGTGTGTCGTTTTGCTTAAAGTCACAATTTTGAAGAACCTGTCAACTACATTGAGAACTCATTATAATTTAATAGTATTAGTCTAGTTTCAAGGTGAGGAACATATTGGTGAGTGCAATTAAAAGAATTGAGACACTTGTGGAGGAGACAACAACATTAAAGTAGTGAAACAATAATGAAGACTGATTAGTACAGAGGCAATACAAATATAACACTGGTGGGAGTCCATAAATATTGAACTGGTAGAATTACTACATCTCCAAGGCTATTGACCTAAAGAAAGAGAAGAAAATCCAGGAAGACCAGTTGGAGCAATAAGACTGCAAGGAAGAGGGGAGAAGTCTGATTCACTTAAGCATACACTCAATTTAAGGTTTATCTGAGTGATTTTCTAGCAGAAATGTTCAGAAATCACAAGAGAGAAAGTGAAGTTTTAGAGAAAGATACAAATCACTAGGCAATACTGAAATACTTTTGTACCTGTAAATCACAAATTTACAGTAGTAGCAACCTGCACAGGTGTATTATTTTCCCAGTAGCTTAGTTGTAAAGGATACACTAAAGATTAAATAGCAAATGAGTTAAACACAGTCACAAATTTATTTCCACATGTAAATGCGAGGAAACAAATTACATTTGCATTGAAGCAAAATTAGGCCTGTGTGACATTTTTAGACTGACTGCAGATGTGAGCTCACATTATTGTAGGGCTAATCCCATGCTTCTTAGAGCACACTGGGTCTCTAATTATTGTGCATTTATGTTTTCAAAGAGAAAGTGGCTTGATGCATTGCATTTCCGCCTGGTAAAAATTTAAATAAATGAAAATAGCAGCAAAGGAAAAAAAAAACACTAACAGAAAAACATTTGTGAAGTCACTGTATATCTGTACATGCTGAATACAAAATGCTTTGGATTTTAGTGGGAACTAGAGTAATATAAACATTATAAATTTAAAAAATGTGATGTAATTTTGACCCAAAAGGTATGATGTTATATGTCTCAGCTTTTCATTTATAAAGACATTCTTCAAACCCTGTCAAAATGGCAAGCCAAATGGTATTCTCCTCAATTCTAAACACACATATTGATT